GTCTTGTTTTCCTTGCCACGTGGAATGTGGAAGGGGAAAAGAAGAAGTCCCCCAGGTTCCTTTCGAGGAGTACGTCGAGTGTTATTGTACCTGTTCCCTGATTATTCGCCTTGTTCAAAGACACACGCAATCACACGAACGTGTATTTCAAGTTCTCTTGTTGGCACACACCGGAAATGGAAAATTATTCCGTTTCCGTCGCGCCATTGTCACATAAATTGCAAATTAAACCTTAAGACCGGAGTGAGCGTAATTGCGAATGTGCGTATTTTCATATGTTTAGCTGAAATGAAAATCCTAGATGGCAGGTATTTTATACTCATAAATTGTCTTCCTTGAAAAGAGTGATTATTATTTTTTCATTTCTTTTTATTTACCTTTATATGGTAAATATAATCTCCCCTCAAAATAAATTTCAATTTAAATACTTGTTTAAAGAAGCGTTTTGCCAAAAATCTCAGTAAATATTTGATTAGGAGTTTGGAAATCTTTGGTAAGCAAAACATATAATATTTTAAATTTGAAACATACAATGTCCTTGAATCATAATTTTTCTGAACCAATTAAAGCAATTTGGTTAAGTTTAAGTACTTTTTAATAATGTTAAAGCGATAATTATCGCACTTCGCCAAGAGCTCTTTAAATTGCGTATACGCCAGGGCTGGCAATGTGAAGCAGACGAGTGCGACAAGTGCGTTGGCAGGAAGTGCAAGAAGTGGCCACAATTGCATTTAGCCGAACTAAAAACATTTGCGACTGGCAAACACTGCGTGACAGAATGGGCGGAAAAGGTTCCGCCGGCGGTGCAGACAAGTCGCTCCAGATGGCACATCACTGACACTTAAATGGCAAAAGTTAAAATTACAATTAAACGCAAAGTAAGAGACCGAGAAGCCGTGCAAAAAGTTTTTGCCACACTTAGGAAAAATATGATTACCGCCATGATTTATTTATTTCAATCATCAATTATACAAGCATCAATTAAATTAACAAAGTGACCGACTGGTAAAGTAAACTGACAAGACATTTTCCAGAAAACAGAGTAATTTTTTTTTAAAAGGTGTCTAAGAGTATGCAACAATATATTTTCAGTCTGAAACTCGTCACTCCGAAAAACGACGTTTTTTTTTCATTGCATACTTTTAAACAAATTTTTAAAACGTTTTAAAACCCCAGTGATTTTTGTGGCATCCTTTTAAATATTTATTATTATTTTTCTAAACTAATTCAAATAAATAAATGACCAATCGATAGGGACAGAGTTGTACGTAATAGGCGTTATTGACACTATGGAATATTTATTGCCCTATTAAATGCCCTTATTGAAAAATCCTTCGAATTATTGTAAGTTAAGACTTCTTATTTTTTCTTTCTGTGTATGGATCCCTGGATGGCAATAGCATTCAGCATGGTCATCTGATATCCTTCGGCTGCAGAAACTGCAGGAAAAAGGGCAACATTGCTCCGACAAATGCAAACAACTCGACGAAGTGAAGCCCCACGAAGCTGGGTAAATTGTTGGCTTAACAAATTGCTAATCCACTTTCACCGGGGTAGCGGATTGGATGAGGGAATGCATTTGAATACTTCTCGAATCCTCAAAGTAGTGGGAAACCAGAGGAGTTGCTTTGAGTCCCATTCGAGATTGTAGACCCGGAAAAATACCCTCTTTGCAAACTTTTTTTGTGTTTACATCAAAGGCTGCATTTATCTGATGTGATTAAGTTGCAGTTACATAAAACTGAAATGCATATTAAGTGCAATCAAAAGTTTGAATATGAAATCTGCTTGCATTTGCCCAAAATTTCAGGTCATAGGTGTTGCTCCAGATTTGCTCGTAACTTAATTTTGCAAGCCGAAGGACCGAGTTGAAATATTTAAATTAAATTGCGCCACGAGTGTGTGCACTGCTTTCATCGCACTCAAAGGTCATTTCACTTGGCTTTCAAGAAAATTAGTTTTAAATTAATTAAAAGATTTCCCCTTAACTGTGCGCTGTGGTCCTTGATGGCGTTGGAAAAGTGAGGCCAGGCAGAGCGAAAGAATGGTAAAACTTGGATAATCATCCCAACCGCACCGCCCACATTTTCCAGGCGGCCGGGCGACTTGCTCCTCCTCCTCCGCCCCTAAAAACTCAACTCACTTTTTAATAGTTCGCAAACCACGAAAGGCTATGTGAGTTTAAACACTGTTTCAAATACTTTTCCGGAGGCGGAATGTGAGCGCTGGAACTGGAATTACGCAGTAGGCGCAAGCCGGAAAACTTTCCCGCCGTTCTTTTGCACTTTTATGTAGCCTTAAGTATTTATTTGCATTTCAACTTTGTGCTGTTCCTTTGCAAAGCAATTATTTCAGCAAAATTAAGCATTTAAATTATGCATCTACTGTTTAACTAAAGACAGTCTAAAGTAAATAAAAGAGCCATTAAAATAAAATAACTACTTGGTATTTCAAAGTCGTAAAAAGTAAACCAAAAAACGTTGTTTCCCTTTTCCTGGCGGAAATTTAAAAAAGTATCCAAGCGGAAATTGTAAAATACATACAAATATAATAAATCCATTTAAAGTTAATCAACAAATCGTCTTAAGTAACTGGAGACAGCTCAGGGTCGTCAAATTACTAAATAAATATTTTTGCCAGCATTTGTATGTTTGCATGTTTGCGTTGCAAAAGGAAATTACGCCGTGTGAAAAGGAGTTGGTTTTCGGAGGTCTCAGGACTGCCATCAGCTGTTTGTACTTTCATCCCCAATTTTCACAGCTCCCTGTCCAAGAAAGTTAACAAAACTCCACAAAACGCTGGCTGACTTCACCTTTTAAAGTGTTTCCTTTCAAAGTGAACTTTAGTTACCACTTATTAGAAAAGTTCGAAAAATGCGGCTAGCTTTTGTGTATACTTTTTGGTCCTAATAAGTGGTTAATTATAACTTTTAATGGAAGTATATTTTTTAAAAGTCTATTAACATGAAATGTTAGCCATGGTTTTAAACTCAAGAAAAATATATTTAACTCCTAATGAAGTATAGAGGTATGTGCCTTAGCAATAAGCGTATGCTCCATTGTATACATACATGGAATATAAGATGGTCCAGAAATCACTAATGTGGTTAGTTAGAACTTTTTTAACTGTTAGTAGGACCAATATACGTTACCAGGATTACGTGGTCTAGTTGGACTAATAAAATCAATCAGTAAACAATTTTATTCATCGATTGCAATATTCACAAGATGGTCTAGTTACTACAAAATTCAAGTCTGTAGGGAAAAACATATGGGGTTATCCCTAGCTATATAGACAGTCCGCATGGGGTTGTTTTTAACAATTTTAGCTTGTTGCGGCGGGATGGTATGGACATGTATATGGATATGGATGCCAACCCCCGAGGAACTGCTGCGCTCTCCAATCGCTACCTGGCCCCTGATTAATTTAGTCTGGGTCTCTCACTTGGTTCTATTTTCTTCTTTTCTGCCAGGTACCCACGGGGTATACCATGACATGTGTTCTGGTATAGAGTGGGTGAATGTGGGTGGGTGAATGGGGGTCGGGGAGTGGTTACTCCGGTATCGAGGGGGTGGTGCATTTCTAAGCGACTCAAATTGAATGCAACGAAGACCTGTGACATCAGACGGCCAGGGTATATGTGCATGAACGTAATTAGAAAAACATCGGTGTACATGGGTTTGTAGATAAAGCCAGCAGGAAGTCCAAAAATATAAAAAGAGTAATTGCCAGAGCCAACTGACTGTAACTAACATGGAAATATGTTTTTTGTTGCGATGCCGAAAGCGGTTTATTCTAGAAATTAAAGCTTGGCTTATGGGGTGAATATTGTTAGCTTAAATCTGCAAAAAAAACTGTGTGTAAATACAATTTAATTCTTTTTATCCTTTATAAAATTAAATTATTTAAAAGCATAAAAAAAATTCGCTTGAACTCGAACACCTTTTGTTTATAAGTCTGTGTGGCTTTCAACTCAATTATCGTTAAGCCAAATCTAATGTCAGGCTCAAACGGAAACCATCCTAACAGTCAAAGGATTCTAGGGAAATTAAAGAAATCTGACGGATTTCCATTGTCGGCTTTTCCGCCCTCTCTGTGTCTTTCAATTGACCACTTTTGTGCTTGACAAAAGGAGAGACGGGCCAACAAAAGGGAAATGCCCCACAAAGGAAATTCAATTTAATGGATTTTAAACGTTCAGGTTGCTCCACCCTGCAAATATACCCTGCTTATGCTCTTATAAAACAAGGAATTTGTTTAATAATTATAATTCATTATTATATATACCACAAGCAGCTTTGTTATGAACTGAATAATTCAAATTTATAAATGCAAAATAAATTAAGATTAAATAAAGATGTCTTTTTCTACCGTTTTTTGTTTTCGGTAAAAAATTTTTACTAAATAAATTTGGAAAAAGAATATTTGGAAACAGATGAGTAATATCGATCCTGCTATGTCGTAAAAGCAACATTGTTAAACAAATTATAAATATATGAGATGTTAGCTGTTTGGTATATATTGTACATAGATTGCATAAATCCCTTTCATCTACGCGCTCTTAATCATTTGAATCCCTTTTAAGGAAACATTAATTGAGATTAAAAAATCATCATTTGTTTTAAAAGAAACTTTAAGTGATTTATAAATATTTACACATATCCATATATAGATGAGCCAACATGTATTAGCTGTTCGCACGCAACTTGGTTAAATGATAAATCAATTCGGACAATTTGATTTATGTTCAAGCATGAGATTTATATTTCTGAATAGAGTTGTTGTGGTCTCGCACTCTCGACTGAAATGCAGCAGAGTTCCTTGTTGATTCTAGTTTTCCTTGGAATTGATTATCCCATACCTGTCGTCGGCAGTTTGGAAAAAACACCCCGAAATCGCCTGCAATTTTTGAAACACCACCAAAAAACGAGAGCGGTAAACAAAACCGCCAGACAATCATAAAAAGGTTCTTATAACTGCAATGAGATCACTTCACTTACCGAACAACAGACAGAACAGATGATATAGTTATATATATATATATATACGATGCTTTTGATGGGTTCACTTAGCACTTAAGTATCTCTACAGAACCTTTTGGCTTAATCCGGAAAACACTTGGAATTGGTTCGAAAAACGAAGCCAGACAAAGGCCGGAACACTCGTTATGGCCATTTGGAGGACCTTTGTTCACTAGCACGCTGGGTAAATTCAATTTTGACAATTTTCAAGTGACACTTGACGGCGGCACAATCGACGCGATACAATTGCATTCAATAGAACCGATTTTCCCGAGTGAAGCATCTACGAAATGCGGCAGTAAATCGGAGCCCAACCGTCCGAACTTTCACCCACGAACAGCGACGGCAGCAAACTGATTGCCACGCGACTTTGAGCCACCGGCCAGAGCCAAAATAAAGCCACGAGCGCACTGCCGAGCACGAGGCGCCAGGACACAAGCAGGACATCGACAGGAACAAGCACTGCGTTGGACTCCTCGTGGAAGAAGCGAGAGGCGCACGCCACCGCTGGTGTGAGTTGTGCGCAGAGAGAGAGAGCAGCCGAAGGACGAACGGTGGTGGATTTGGATTTCCCGCCTGCCGAGGGGGTGGCTCGAGTGGTTGGGTGGTTGGGCGGCTGGGTGGTTCGGAGGACATGTCATGTTGTGACGCCGTCTGCTGCGAGTTTTACTACATCCAGCCGGTTGAAAAGGGGGTGGAAAGGCTGTTGCCGGCTATGGCTAGTTTAACGGTCGGCCAGCCAAACAATTCGGAGCAAATTAATCCCAAATCTGCATGCCTAAATCTGTGTGCCGTACGGATTGGTATAGGATCTGGGTTGTGAATAACTTGATAAATATTATCCGATAATTGTGTCGAATCACATATTGGCTTCAAGGTTTTAAAACATATTTTATAAGTGAATTTTAAAAGAAAAAATATTTATAATTTAATCTGCGTGCTGAAAAGGGTGTGCAAACTCCGTTTGTAAAGTATTTCAAAAATTCTTGTAGCGCCTTGCTTAAGTTTTTAAGTTATTGTATAACAACCTCAAAGTGAAAATTAAAATAAAAATATACAAAAATTGCGGCATTAAAATGACACTAGTTATAAATATAAAAGGAATTTACAAGAATTTTCGAAGTCTTTACGTTTAATAAACATATTTTTCAGACCTGCCTAAAAATTATCTGAGACATACAGATATAATCACTTAAAGAATTAATTAGATTACTGAATACTACAAATTCCATGAATATTTTAAAATTTGCAAAGCAATTAAAAAACATTTTTTGAACAATCCTACATAATAGCAGTTTTTAAATCAGTTTAATTAAAAGAACAAAAATATTCCTATACTGAAAATATAAGTTAATACTTGGCAATGTCTAGATTCCTTCATTAAAACAACAATTTATCAAAGAAAGTCTTACATTTGCTTTAACTCAAAACATTCAATATTTAAACAAGAAAAACGGCACATTGCATGAGGTAAAATCTTTAATGAATGGTCACTAAATCAAGTCGGGCTACTTGCAATACCGATCGGCCTTCATTTTACTGCGTCTGTCCAAAAGAGTTTCATGCAGGGAACCCTGAGCCTTGGCATCTTCGAGTTCTTTTACATCGTTTTGGTTGATTCGCATCTTCTTGTCTTGGAACTTTTGGAACTTTTTCCTGAAATCAACAGTATTCTTGATTAAATTTGGTCTTAATAAAGTGAGAGTTGTTAAAGTCATACATAGTTGCAAACAATATATTAAAAGATATTGCTTCGTAAGTAGGTTCAACTTACACATAATTCTTTTCGACTTCCCCTAGGTCCCCCTTTTCTTCCTTGGGTTCCGTGTCGACAATGACATCCCTAGCTCCATTACTCCGCACTTTACAGATTTCATATTGCCCGACCTTCTTTCGTAATGCCACACAGGCATCGTCTTCTGGATCGATGGACATAAAGTGCCCGGTTTCGGACAGCAGGGCCATACGTTTTTCCTTTAAATAAAATAAATTAAATACGCTGATAAAGGATTGTATATAACAAGAGTGGTAATACCTCAAACACGGGCTCCCACTGTTCCATACTGCCAACAGCTTCAGATCGCCCTGTTACCATGCCATCTTTTTCGATTTTTAAATATTTTCCATAACCAGATTTAAAGGCTACCTTTCGGTCGTTAATGGGAAAGGCGGTGAAAATTTCCTCCGGATCTGGGCCATCGCCAGCGTTGTGTGGTGCTCCCAATGTAAAAAGACTGAAATATAAAGGTATTATTAATTTTATACATGAACGATCAGTTAAGGGAAGGCTTATACATTTTGTTCCTTACAATTTAAGTAGGTTTAGATCTTGTTAAAGACAAATACTAGTTACGACTCTAAGCAAAATTTGTTAACAAATCTCTTTAATGTTCTGAAACTCCATACAATTTAGATTGAAATTAAGTTAGAGAGTTGGAGCATTGTACCACTATATATTTATATACCAGAGATAAGGTTGATTAAGGATTTCATATCGAAGAAATGCCTTATATACTACATACGTATCTTATTCCGATCCTAGTCTTTAACCAAATATTACCCATTATCCATGGCTTTCAGGTAGCACCGGTCGTTAAACTCGATGGACACAGTGCCTGTTATATCGGCGGCTGTCTTCGCTGTCCACCAGCCGCCGTGCTCCACCGCATCCTCGTCAACCACCACCTTGGGCTTCTTGGAAGATCCTGCCTCATCCTTTTCCTTCTTCCGCTTTTTGCTTTTTCTGCAATTCAAGGTTTTAAAGAGCTGCACACGGTGAATGTTCAATACTGTACTCACTTGTGTTTCTCTCCCTTTAAAACTAGTTTTTTGATGCGCGCATGGTCGTAATCAGACATAGTCACAGATAAGTAACTATTTAAAATCTTATTAATCCAATGAACGATTGAAGCATGCAATAAATAAATACAAATTGTGTTGTTTTGGTTTTTTTCTTAAGTGTGACCGTTGGCTGACTTTTAGAAAAAAACCAAAGCATAATGTTGAAATACCATAAATATACCGTTACAAAGTATTGACCAGGGCTCCAGTGACACATTTTCAAATATTTTTTAAGAAAGTACCATTTAATATGCGAAACAATAAATACTTACAGCCACTAAAAAACTTTATCCTTTTCCATATTTAAACCACATTACGTAAAGACGTAATGTAAGACAAAAGTGTCACATTAATACTTTTATTCTTGAGGTTTAATACTTTCTTACAACAAAGCAAAATAATCACGACTGCACGATCTGTTTTGACTAAACGCAACATTGTACACATGTTTCTGTTCAAATAATTTACCTTAAACATATGGCATAAATATATGTTTAAATTATTAGGCGGTACAAATAAATTTAAATAATAAATTTACATATATAAATAGTTTAAAGGGGAAAACTTGACTTGAAAATCTTTGGAAAAGCGCTGGCATATTCGAAAAAGCTTATAAATATATGGATAAATACAACAAAACGGAACATCCGTAAGTATATAGGAATGTCCAAATATGGAAATAAGGACCTTTTACATGTATCCTTCGACTGAGACATTTTGCCACTGGCCCTGAAATTAAAATGGGAACAACTTAAATGCTTGGAAAACAAACTTATGATAGATTTAAATATAACTTACCGCAATGCCGAGGTTCCATCCAACGCCAGCTGGATTGTCCTTTGTAATCCCGCACCGCCTGCAGATAATGCCATTCAAGGAAATGGCCCACACCTCGGAACCCACGGACACCGACCGGAAACCACAATGCTGCTCCGTGTGCGGCGGCACATTGGCGGCATTGGGCAGAAATTGCCAGTGGGATCCCTCGGGGAAGGTCATCGAGATCTCTTTTCGCACAGCCAATCGCTGCTGGTTGTCCAGCGCCCAAATCCCAGCGCGTCCCACGCTAATCGCCTTAAAAGTCACGCCCGCAGGAGCCTCCACCTGCTGCCAGGCATCGCCGCACGGATTTTGCCTGCTGATTCCGTACCGGAAGAACACCATTCCGTTGCGGGCCACAGTCCACACCTGTCCCGTGGGTCCCACGCTGATCCCCACGAGCGGCTGGTCGCTGGTGATGTGTTCCCAGGACTCACCACGCGGATTCAAGCTGCACACCCCGTGCCGTATGAGAACATCGCCATTGGAGGCGATGGCCCAGGCGGACACAGCTGTGTTGTTCCCACCCGGGCTGCTATTCACATCATCGTCCAATACCTATAGAGAAATTGATCAGGAATAGGTGGAAATACGAATTAAATCTAGACAAACCTGCAGCGCGGCATCGAGGATTTTGGACTGACTCAGCTCCTGCCAGGGTCCGCTGCTGGTGAGGCGACACCGCTTCATCCATCTGCGCCGGCGCACGCAGTCCGTGAGCTTCTTGTGGGCATGGTAGTTGGCGGGAAAGTCGATGGCATATTGCCAGCCCTCCTTATCGGCGCCCCCCGGAATGTTGTAGTCAATGGCCCAATCCGATATCCATTCGCAGTGCGTGGACAGCAGCTTGGTGTGCTCCTTGCTGCGCTTCTGCCGTCCACTGGCATCACTCCACATGTGCCGGTCGGTGGGCAGACTCTTCGCAGTGAACCCACTGATCGGATTCCAGCGCTGGTTCTCGTACACATAGTAGGTGTGCGTGTCAATCATGGGGTTGATTTTGCCCGATCCCTCCAGACCCTTTAGGAACATGCCGCCCCAGCCTCCGTTGTAAACCCAACCGGTGTTGTCGCAGGAAATGCCCCACACCACGTCCACGCCGCTGTTGAATATCCGCTTAATGTGGCCGCCCATTTGGCGCCAGTGCATCCGCTCCATGGACACAATGAGCGAAGGACAGCGGTACAGCACGCTGAAGAGCTTAATGCGACCGCTCACATAAAGCCGGGTAACGCTTTCCGGATCTATGCGGTATTTGTAGTCGGTGTAAACGGCATTGTTCACGATCATCAGGTAGTGGTTCTTTAGAGCCCTAAAAAGGATGTCCAAGAATATGGTTTAGATATTCATACAATAACAATAAAATTGAGGCGCTTCTCACCTTATCTTCAAAGTAAATGTGGCACCAGGACCAAATGCCATCTTGTCATTGCGAATCTCATCCAGCCACTCAGAGTCCTTCATCGAGTTGAGCACCGTGGTGCGTTCGTTGAAACGGGGATTCAGATGCAGGGCAATCACTCGGTGCTTCTCAACACGATGCGGCTGCACTTTGACTGTGGAGTGCGACTGCAGGTCGAAGCGTATCTGATCAGCGTCATCGTACACACAGCCGGATATCTCCAGTTCAGTGCCACACGGCATTCTGTAAGACAACCATGCAGTTGACCATTATATTATATTTGATATCAGTTATGTAAAAAAAAGGAAATCCAAAAAGTATGCATTTTAATATAATAGTTTTTAAATCGTTAGAAACTCTTTAAGTGGATACAAAAACATACCACAAATATTCTGCTTTTATTTATAATTTCGAAGCAAACTTTTGCACAAACGTATACTTTATCATTTTTAAAAAGCCCCAATACATGTTGGATGTCATAGAAGAATCTTAAAGCAGTAACCTTAAAATTATCCTGTCACTGATTTGTATTTTAGAACACAAAGTTTGGCCTAGCTAACACCCAAAAGTTCTGGACTGACCATTGTTATACAAACACTATTGGAGCAACATTAACCGAAACCGATTTCATCAGGTATGTTTTTATAGCCACTTACCCATTGTAAAGAGTATTGTAGTAGGGGGTTTCGCATGTTGACACGTCCATCTTCTCCATATACCCTTCTCCGGGTTCACTTGTCTGCTGCGCCTTCATGTTGGCCGCATCGAAAACAAACACATCACCCAATTCGCTGGTCAACCAGATGGCATTGCTGGCCGGTTTGCCCACCAGCGTGTTGATCTGGCTGCACACGGACGACAGGTGGGATAGCCAATCCTCCATCTCCGAATCGCTGGAGAACTGCAGCTTCACCGGCGAGCAGTTCACAGGTAGATGGGGTGCATGGATGGCGATCCGGGGTGCTCCTGCTTCGCTGCAGCACTGCACACAGGTGATGTCCGACAGCGGAAACTGAATTTTCGTGGCTGCTCCATCCGGACTGAGCACTGTGAAAGTGCCAGAGTCGCTGGCACCGCCACTCGTTCCACTGCCGCTGCTCACCCACTCCAGTTCGATGATGCAGTCCTCGAAATCGCCGCCAGGTCGCTGGTAGCGAGCATCCGCCGATTTCACCCACGAAGAAAGCTCTACGGCCTTCTCGAACTTGGCCACAGTCTGCAGCTTGGCGAGTCGCTCCTGCCGCCTCTGTAGCTTGACTAGAATATCCTTCCGCCAATTGGCATTAACATCCACTTTGCTGTCGCTGGTCGACTGTTCGTTAAACCAATTGGGCATGTTTCCGGCATCTACGGTCACCGCACCCGGAGCAACGCAGCTCCACAGTATGCCGCACTCTGTCCAGAACTGGGAGCCCGTGTGGTCATCATCCTCGCCCAGGAACACATCCGATCCGTGGTGCGTGGAGTCCGATTCGAATACGGTTGAATCGCTTTCTGGATGCGCTTCGGTGCCCACAACGGAGCCAACACTTCGCACGGGCGACCAGGCTCTTGGGTTCCTTAGCTGTGTCTCGAACTTTCCACTGATCTCAACCACATCCGCGGCGGGAGCACTGGAGGCATGTGAGGTCTCGCGAAGAGCAGCAGTTCGCTGCTTGTGGCGATCGTTCAGATTCAAACTTCCTATGGTCGGAGGTGAGTCCGCACTCAGCTTCCAACGTTCGTTCTTGAGAAGACCAGGCGGACCGCCATTGCTGGAGCACGAACCCGTGGAACTATTCGGCACGGTTTCTATGACGGCACAGGTCTCCACAACTCCCTTTTCCTTCTCCTTGGAGTACAGATTGGAGAAGCTCTGATGCTTTGAGCCAGGAGTTGAGCTGCTGCCACCACTTTTTCGGGAGACAATCGAAAGAGAGCTGGAAGTGCGGCTGATTTGCATGGGACACTGAATCAAACGCCACTTTTTGCCCGTGGGATCGGCGGAAGTCACCCCAGAGCGGTGGTATAGACAACGATCAGCAGCTCCCACGGCAAAGACCTGGAGAAAATGGGTTTTTCATTGCTTATAAGTGTTAATGGAGAGGAGAGCTCACCTGATCATTGGCCGCCACAGAGATCATGGAAATGTTGCCCACCATTTCCACCCAGCCCTTGCCAATGGCCGAATCCTCGCTTATACCCGCTGCCTCGCCCTTGATGCCCCGCCTGAACCAGGCGTGATGATCGTTGGTCACACACCACACTGCATCGGTGCCCACGGAGACGTGTACGATGCGCAGGCTACAGGTGGCCACCGGGGTCTTGACATCCAGCCACGAATCTCCGACGAGATTGTCCCGGGTGACTCCAGTGCGGACAATCACACGCCCGTTGTAGAGAACCGCCCAGACCAATCCCGTGGGTCCCACGCTGATCTGCGAGAGTTCGCTACCCGTCGGTGTGGGCACGGCGGTCCAGCGGAGACCCTCGGGCGCCGTTTTGGACACTCCAGTGCGGAACATGGCCCTGCCATGAGCGGTGATGGCCCACACGCACAGAGTGCCGGCGGGGGCGTTGGGAACACAGGTGCCACCGATGGCCACGTCGATGAAGGGCTCCTGGGTGGGATCCTTGTGCAGCGGGGCCACGGCGCACCAGCTATTCAGGGCGGCGTACCTTCTGTATCTCACCCACTTGCGGCGACGCACGTAGGAGTTCCACGACTTCTTCACCGAGTACGTGGCAGGGAAATCCAGGGCGTACATCCAGCCATCCTCGGGCAGCGGCTGACCATCGAGCTCCAGGTCCAGGTGCCAGTCGCCGTCCCACTGCCAGGCCATCGAGGGCAGACGGATCTTGTCCACACCGCGTTCCACACTGCCATCCGCGGAGGAGTACCTGTACCGATCCGTGGGCAGCAGCGTCTTGGAGAACCCCTCGATGGGCAGCCAGCGCTCGTTCTCGTACGACTCCTCCCGTATCCGGATGGGCACGTCCAGTCCGTGGACATGCACGTACACCTGGCGGTCGCCGCCGATGGCCCACAAAAAGTTGGGCACCGCGCAGATCTTCTTGAACTCCAATCCCAGGTAGGGAAGCTCGCGCCAGGCTCCGGAGCTGGTGGACAGCGTGTAGACGCGTCCTTCGCTGCTGGCGGCGAACAAATACGTGCTCGGCATGGTTGGGTGTTCTACTTTCGACTAGGAATCCACTCTTTGTCTGCCATCGTGTTTACAATTGGGAAAAATTGATTTTTCTGTTGGAGTATAGAAGATAGAGCTGTCTAGCCAGCGATGGCACAACCGATACTATCGTTGGTTGAGTTACAGCCGATAGTTCGTTGGGTTGTGTTTATAACATTTTTTTTTATTAACTATTTAAAACAAATGTTTTAATATTGATAAATGATTATTTCCCAGATTTTTTATAAATATTAAAGAAACTTTCAAGAAAATTGTATATATCACAATATTTAAACTGCTCATGAAAATGAAGTTCAAGCATAGCACTTTTAATATTGTGTAGTATTTATATAGGGTTTAACTTAACAATAACGGGATATAAAATGATTAGCTTCTTAAAATAATAAATGATAAATAAAATACATATTAAGCTCAACGTAAACTTAAATAGATTAAACTATATTAAATAATTGTTTATAATAAAGGCTTGTGATTTGACAACCCTATAAAATCGCTAGTGTTGTTAAGCTTCAAAACCGGGATAAATAAATACCATTTACTATCGAACATAAAGTACTCGATAGTGCTTTGCTCTCGCAATTGCTCGTTGTATCGATAGTATCGTGGGTGGTTAACCCAGCTCTAATTGACGCCAAGAAATTATACATTACATTGATTTTGAAAAATATGGTAAAAATTAAAGTGTTTTTTCTGTAAACTGTGCAAGTGGACTCCGCGAAAAAAGGAGGCCGGGTTATGGACATGTCAATCGGTCGCAGTTGAAAAGGACAGCCGTGAGTTTGGCCATTCGGCGTGGCGACGTTCGACGCAGAAAAGCGAGCACGCGCAGGCCAGACGGTCCGTCGGTCGTATCAGCTGCTGACTGTGGCACCCGGAGGCCGACCACGGACATGTTCCCCGTGCTCCCCGATCCGTAAGCCCAGTGCCGAGACCGAGACCAAATCCGAGGCCCTTCCAGCAGCCGGTATTTCGTGCCCTGGTGTAGTAAAACATATGTACACACGCCTACACAGTTCAAACATACATTGAACACTATACACTATAGTTACTATACATATGTATCCCCCGATGTCCTGTGTGCATCCCGTGAAACCTCTTCGCTGCATCCGCGTTTCGGGGGTGGTCGGCCTGCCAGAAAACTCCCCTAAAAATAGCGTACGAGCAAGTGATTAGAACCCCTATTAACCGGAACCTTTTCCTACCCCACAGTTGACCACTTCGGAGCTAAAGTGAACTACTGGTGACATCGGGAAACACACTGTGGTAAGTGCACATCACAAATCACCTGGCCAAAGGTCCAAAACTAAACGGCGTAGTGCCACACAGCAAAATTTACATCCGACAGACGGAACGGACAGACTCAGCAAATCACATCACAATAAGTCATGCCACGGGGAAAACGCCGAGCTGCAGATATTAGCGACAACATGGATCATGGTCAACCGAAGAGGGCCCGAACCAGCTACACCAGCATACCCACACAACAAAGCAGCAGGTGAGTGACAAAAAAAAAAAAAAAAAACAAATAGGAAACCGGAAAAAGAACAAAGGTCCTTTGCTGTTGTATCATCTGTTCGAGGAAAAGCATCTGGTTTCCGGTATAGAGAATCCTAGGCCATTTCAATTCCACGTCTGTTTGAAATTTGTTTGAACATCAAGAAAAGAAACAAAATTACTCACAGCCGACACAGAAAAAATTATTATTCATAAAATGGAATGTAAATAGCCTATTGGACAAGGTTTATAAAAATATATCCCATAATACCTCCTTATCGAAAGCCAAATAAATGGAAAAACTATAGGAATAGGAAAATTTTGAAAGTTATATAAACATTAAACGAATTCTAAGAAAGTTTAATATAAATTGTTTATATAGGTTTAAAATGATTAATCATCATAGTCACTCTTTGGTATATTCAAGTATAATAAAGTTGTCTGAATTTTTATCCAGGTTTTGGTACCTTTACAAAAAAGATACCATGCGCAACCCAGAATACTAATTTATTACCTTATCAAAACAACAATATTTACAAATGAAAACTACTTAATTGTTTTTGGCTAGACTTTATACAACTGTATTGATTTGTTTTGATTTGTTTAATGGTTAAATGATTTATTTGAAAAAGAAAGAAGAAATGCACAGGGGACTCATTTCAGCAGATTGTTAAAGTAAAAATATATAAATTTCTCTTAACGAACTTACCTATTTCTATTTTGATTGTCCAATTTGATTTCATAAAATGTTTTCATTCAGGAGACCGGTAGAATAAATTACTTATCGCTTCCTTATATTTGCAATTCTTCTAACAGATAACCTTTATATTGAAGTCAACCAATAGTTAAAAACCAATTATTTCAGCAGGCATCAGTATTTATTTCCAATTTTATTAAACTCATTAATACTAATTATAAACAAAAGCATTTAAAGTTCCTATATGTTTTCCCGCACACATATCTTTCAATATTTCAATTGGCAAAATTTTGATTGGACAAAGAGACAATGAATGTTTAATAGGAGGTGCAGGAGATTTCGTTTAACAATGTGTCGTAAAAAACGGATATTCAGTATAGATGCTTTGTTAAAATTGCTGAAACATGAGTACAAGATTTGATATGACGTCCACGATGCCAACTTTGGTCTTTCGCTTAGATTAGTTTGCCTGGTAAATAATAGTTTTCGGCTAATAATGATATATATATATATTAACATTTAATAATCATATATGGTGCGCTATTATTTTATACATTAACAATATGGAAGACATTTGCATTTCTCATATATGTATCTTTAGTTGATTTCGATAACCTCGTAAATGTTAATCTCAGTATCTGCCGGGACAACTCTTAATTTTGACTCTTAAAGTTTAAAAATAGGACTACAGGATTGCAATAGATCCAACAAACGTGGGGGATATGTGTAGACAACGATATGATCAAATAGTTGAACAAAAACGAACGCTTCACTTGATTCGGGGGTCTGCTCACTCCATGGAACCGTACTGCACCTTCTTGATTTTAAAGTACCTATAAGGAACGGGTCTTCAGAATGACTTTTTGGGGTTAATTAAGGAGCACTGTTACCTCCAACCGCCGTAGCCGGAAATGGTCAGCAGCACGGCAATGGCCAGAGCAGTACCCACGGCCAGAGGCGCCGTCTCATCGCGATAGGATCCTGTAGCGCTGCAGTGGAAGGACGGACCCCACTTGCCGCTGTCCTTGAACATGAAGCTCTGCATGTGCATGTCCCGCAGATACAACTTGGCTATGTGCCCCGACTGGTCGCCGGAATCGTGCGGGGCGTACATGATCACAGTCTGCTCCTTGTCGCACACATACGATTTGCCCACCGGCGTGGGAAAGTACATGGGCGTCTGGGCGGGCGAAGTCAGCTTCACGTCCAGGTTGGGGCGATCGGGGTGCTCGAACAGCCAGTTGGAGGAGGAATAGGTCAGCTCGAATAGGTTGATATACCAACCCTCGCCGCCAGATGACTGTGGGCAAAAGTGCAAACATTAGTCGATAATCAACCTCTGACCTTATCATGGATAGAAAGTTCACAGTATGTGCTGCCCAGATACTTTTCTTTTTTGTACTTGTTGGCGTAATTGGGTATAATACACTGTCAATATGTGAAAATGCCTAGGCAGCAGTTAAATGTTAACTATATTATCCGAGTTATATCGATTTTTTAGTAGTCCGAATAACTGACTTGACCCACCCACCTTTTTAAATGTCATAGACAGCCGGAAACCCTTAAAGTCCATGGTGAGAATCTCCATGTTGGACTCGACGCACTCTCCACTCAGCTGGGGATCGTCGGGCATGTAGAGGTCGGCCTCCACATCCTCGTTCAGCTTGTTCCGGTACTTGATGCTGATTAGTCCGTCCACCTGCATCAGTATGCAGGTGATGCCGTTGGTGGCATTGAATCGATACAGCGAAGCGGTGGCATCATGATTCATCGAGGAGGCCTGCAAATAGATTCGCGGATTAGCTATGACTATGACAGGGTAAATCCTGAGCTTGGATTACCGAGGGCGATTTGGTTGTGTACTTGCTGACCCGCGGCGTCTTCGTTGTGAAGGAATTCAGCTGCAATCCATGGGCGGCGGTGACTGAAAGAAGTGGTTTCAATGGTTTCACAGGTTGTCCAGCTAGCTCTGTTCGTTTTTCAGTCAGTGTGTCACAAAACCGTCCTCGACAGTATCGATTTTCGGTGCTCCCACCTCCCACGAATACCACATCCCCTGGCCCAAAAGTCTCTACTACTCACAGAAAAGTGCCAGGAGCGCCGAGCAAATCAGCGTTGCGTTTAGGCCACTGCCCAATCCTTGGATCCTGGACAGGGATTGCGAAAAGCCAGAAAGTTTCATCTTCTCTAGCAAATCTTTGGGCACTTTTTTGGGCAATTCCGATGACTATTTTACGCTGCAATCTCCGCTCGACGCAACTACGACGTGTTTCCTGTTTCGGGTCCTGCGCACAACTGCGGCCCAAATAAAATCCTACTGTCCTGCTGCCTCCTCGAATCCACCCACTCCCAACCCGCTATTCCCTTGTCCTGCGACAGGACTTCACTCTCGCTTTTCGCCTGCGCAGTCGCTGTTAATGGGACGCTGAGGGAGATATGCGTTTATATTTATTTGGGGGCACTGAGAGAAAAACCTAGCACAAAATTATAGGTTAAGAATCCAAAATAATATCGTTCTCCGATTTAAATAAAATTAAAAACGTAATTCTAAAATATTACACCATTACAAAAAATAGAAAAAAATAAACAAAAATTGGGAAAGTTACAATTTTATTTTTAATATTCCGATTGTTTTCAAGGGATCTATATGATATAGACGTCCGATTTTAATCAAATTGAAACCATAATTTAAAAATAATAATCAATATCTATATCTCGAAGAACTAAACAAAAAATTAAGAAACAGCACAGCTATAATTTTCTTTCGGTGAACTATGGGAACTGTATGCTATAGTTGTCCGATCCGGCTCGTTCCGGATCTTTACTTTACTGCGTTGCAAACTTTTGACGAAAATTAAAACACCCTCTGCAAGGATATAAAAAACTGGACTTCTGTAATATTTTATTAAATATTCCAGTAATATAACTTTCTGCTGTTATTTTTTCTTTGTACTGTCAAATTTTATGTGCCAGAACTTAATTACCTAGATGTTATCGTATTTTGAAATTGTAATTAAACTATTCTGTTAAAAAAAATGTTGTTTAATTTATAGAGTAAAGTTATTACTCGGCAAACTATAAGAGAAAGTTTTTTTTTTGAAAATTACGTAAAATCCAAACAGAATTTAGATATTTATCCCAAGGAATTAAAAAATGTTTGATTAAATGAAAATGTTTAGTAATAGAAAAAGTTAATACAACAAACTACACACTTAAAGTACTGTCTGATAACATTTGACCCAAGGAAAACCCCCACTTTCATATAAGTAAATATGAGGTGATGAATTAATATTAATTGCGCGATGATTTATATTGCATTGAATCAAGGCAAAGATTTCTCTCTAAAGCACGTAAAAGTTCGACAGCCTTTAGTTTTCCTTATTCGATTTGTCATATCTGGGTTGGCATTATTTCTTTGCCTTCCTGAGTGCCTCTGCTCTTGGCATTGGCCTCGTCTCTGCTCTGCCATGTTTACTATCGCTATTTTTAGGGGCCAATACTCAAAAACAAACCCCAGAGCAGAGGCAAGTCGAATAAAATAAACAAAAGAGGCCACACGGCATTTGCGACAGATTCGATTAAAACGCTGGTGTATACGTGGTGAAAGCAAAAACAGTGCAGTTAATTCCACATTAATTAGATGGCAGAGTGTGTGAATTTGATTGAATCATTGTGGCCGATCAATTGAGTCAAAAACTTGTTGTTTTTTTGTATCCCGCAGACGCCATATCAGAGCGGAGGATGGCTTCAGTCAAAAACGTTGTTTAAACTGGTTCCAGGAATACACCACTCCAGATGAACCAGAGACTTTGGGTGAGTGGAATTTATTTTTAGATGTCACTGCTTTAATATCTAAAAATATTAAATATTTAAAGATTTTTTAGTAGTTTATGGTACTGAAAATTGTGTTTTATTTATAATCTCTGTTACAACACTTACATTTTTTGTATATAAAATTATATATAATTTTTAGACCAATTATAAATTTATTTTTTTTTTTTTTATATACCGATTTATATTTACATTTTTATTGGCCACACTTGCTTATGTAACGTATCTTATCCTTCAGGTCCCGATGGCATGGAGAAATTCTGCGAGGATATCGGCGTGGAGCCCGAGAACATTGTGATGCTGGTGCTGGCCTACAAAATGGGAGCCACCCAGATGGGCTTTTTCAGCCAGCAGGAGTGGCTGAAAGGCCTCACAGAACTGGACTGCGACTCTTCGGCGAAAATGGTTGTGAAACTGGACTATCTGCGCAGCATACTCAACGATCCCAACTCCTTTAAGAGCATCTACAGATACGCCTATGACTTTGCCAAGGTACGTTCTTCCATTCATACACAATATCCCCTGATTAATATTTTTTTCCTTGTTTTGCAGGATTCGGACCAACGGTGTATGGATATTGTGACTGCCAAAGCCATGCTCCAACTCCTCCTGGGCAAACACTGGCCTCTGTATCCACAGTTCGCACAGTTTCTAGAGCAATCCAAGTACAAGGCGATCAACAAGGATCAGTGGTGTAATATTCTAGAGTTCTCGCGCACCATCTGCATTGACTTATCCAATTACGATATTGACGGAGCATGTAAGTAATCAATGGGGACTTGGGAAAAGTTTGGTTTCAAACTAAACATTTTTATATTTTGTATAAGATATAAATGATAATTTTGACTGGTTCAGGTTTATAAGAAACAAATGGTTCTTATCATTCTTATAATATTGGAACCTTTTTGGTTATTGACTAAGTCTTATTGCGAATTAAATTTAAAGAAATTAAAGTTTTAATAAAACTTCTGAAACGTAGATCTTTTGAGATTAAAAGAAGGTAGAATGTACAATTGCTTACCACTGATTAGTAAGTACTTAACACATATTAATTATTGACTTTTTTGCAGGGCCCGTCATGCTGGATGAGTTTGTGGAATGGCTGCGCCTGCAGCGGAGCCAGGTGACCTCCACTTCCGGGTCCAGCTGAGAGAAGCTGTATCGAGTCGCCTATTTCTAGTTCAACTTTGGGAGCTCAGTGCGGAGGAGTTCGCGATGGCGAAGGAGATGGGATGCGATGGGAATACTGATGAGATGAGATGAGATCAGATCGGAACTATAAGACACAACCACAGGACACTCACTCACACCAGCACACGACACACTCACGCCCACACCCACAACCACGACCACAAACACAACCACACACTCACCCACACCGAAACACAAGGCATTTTGGAGAGACTGCGTACACTGGCAAAGCAACCAACTATGAAACTAAACTATTGATAATATATTTAATGTAATAATTTATGTATTAACGGAAACTAAAAACTAAAACCACACTTTTCTACTTTTAAGGCCTCCTTTGAAAAAAAAAACAAGAAAAACAAGAACAGCAACAAGAGCCAAAATGGGGGCAGCTTGTAAAAAGTAAACCCAGAAAATGAAACGATGGCAATAACCAAGAGACCCCCAATAGACCTAATTTAGAACATACAATTGAACTCAAGCCGACCCCTTCAAGATATCAGCAAGCATAGTCAAAATCTCAAATTAAATCAACACCAATACTGGGGAAACGTAGTCGTTATTAAATCAATGTAGAAAAACAACATTTGGGGACTATTTAATAAAATTATTAAGTAAAAATGTGTCACAATGCTTTGTTTTTTAATTGGGAAAATGGTAAAGCAAGAAATTGCAAAGAAAATTGATTTTATAATATTTATGAATTTAAATTTGATAACCTCAAAAACAATTTTATGGTTTTCAAGAAATGTGAAAAGTAAGACAAATTAAGTCAGATCCTCAGGGTCTAAGCAATGTTAGGCACATCAGTCCAAGTTAACTTCTTAATTGTAATCGTTATATTATAAATTTTAATTTAATATTTAATTTTGCAACTCTGACAGTAAAACAGTGAGAATACCTTATTTAACTTGAACGAGGCAAAACTGCTTGGGCGGAAATTCAAACAGATAACGGCTAAAAAAGTAGTTTTACAACACTCTGCGTAAAATACCGCATTTCCAGAGGAAAATAAACGAATCGTTAAGTTTCAGTCAGCTGTTCCATACAAACTCAACTGTCAGAAATAGAAAAAAAAAGCCATTTGTATCGCAGGACCCACTACAAACTATTAAATCAAATAAAATGGGATGGTTGCTTATACCAATAGTTTTAGGCAGCTAGTAACATAATATATAAAACTATGTTTTTACGACTTTGAAAAGATTGTTCATGTTTGGCAGGCACAATTTTGGGCCGTTGCTGAAAATTTTTGGCGAATTTTCCATTATTCCGTCCTTTGAAAATATCCGTACTTGGCACAAATTCAAACATATAACGGTGAAAAAAGAAGTTGCGCAACACTGTAGAAACCAGATAGCCGGGCCGAAACGGGCACACTAATTCAGCTGACGCTTGTCGCACAAACTCATTTTGGCATTTAAAAAATCGAACGGTTTCGGCGCGTTCTCCGCTTTGTGCTTGATTTTCGTGCACTCGATGGGCAAAACCGAGAATTGAACGCCGTTTCTCTTGCAAATAGTGTGCATCTCCGTTTAAGTGGCCGTATTCAGCGTATTGTTCGTGGCAAATTAAGGCAAGGCAGAGGAAACGAGGAATTTTCGCAACTCCAGGCGAACGTGTAGTGCAAACGGGAGTCCCCAAGAAAGGAGAGCAAGATGGCCGCAAAGCCCGAGGATAAGAGCACGGATATTCCGGATCGCCTTTACGATGCCAACCAGCGAAAAACCTACAAGCGCATGCGTTTCTTCGGCAAGGTGAGTGGTGGGGGACGGGGTAATGCTCTGCTGCGGATATGCGGATACGCATGCGGACATGTCCTAGGGACCACACCAACACTTTCACACACATCCATACATCCCGGTTTTTGGTTTAATTTTCCTTTCCGCTCTTCGCCCTTCTTGTTGTTCTTGTTGCTCCCTCTTATTGTTGTTTTTTTAAAGCAAGAAAGAGTGAGCGAGAGTCTATGTGTATGGAGTGTGTGTGTGTGTGTGCGTGCAGTTGGCATCCAGTTGTTCAATTTTTTTGTTTTTTTGGCGCGACTTCCTAATGTTATCCCAAAATTGATTTAAATAGCTAACTTTAAAGTTGTCCAATGTACAATTGATTAAAAAATGCCATTTATTTTTTACATGCTTGCGGTTAAATAGCCAATTTACTTACCATAGTATTTATTTGGGATCTTTTCTATTACATGGTTCAAAATGATTTAAGCCAGAAACACATGTGTTTCTTTAAAATATAAAACAATCGTAAGAAAAAAAAATAATAAATTTTTTAAAAGAAAATAAACTCTTTACTATGTCAAAGGATTTGTCCTTCATTTGTACCACAAAATAAAATTTTTTAAGCACCATAATGCTTGAAATGAATTTTTAAATTTTTGTAAGTTCAGGCAGTGAACAGTTAGTAAAAGATATAAATGTTCCAAAATAAACGCAGGGCGGCTTTGCAAAATGCTACGAGATCATCGATGTGGAGTCCGACGACGTCTTCGCCGGCAAGATCGTGTCCAAGAAGCTGATGATCAAGCACAACCAGAAGGAGAAGACCGCCCAGGAGATAACCATCCACCGCAGCCTGAATCATCCGAACATTGTCAAGTTTCACAGCTACTTTGAGGATGTGCAGAACATCTACATTGTGCTGGAGCTCTGCAAGAAAAGAGTGAGTTTCGATAGTCCCTGCATTGTTTGTTATTTGTTATATGGTGACTGTAACATCTCTCTGACTTGCAGTCCATGATGGAGCTGCACAAGCGCAGGAAAAGCATCACGGAGTTCGAGTGTCGCTACTACATTTACCAGATCATCCAGGGCGTCAAGTACCTGCACGATAGCCGCATTATTCATCGTGATCTGAAGCTAGGAAACCTCTTTCTCAACGATCTGTTGCACGTGAAGATCGGTGATTTCGGTCTAGCCACGCGCATCGAATACGAGGGCGAACGGAAAAAGACTTTGTGCGGCACGCCCAACTATATTGCCCCGGAGATCCTCACCAAGAAGGGGCACTCGTTTGAGGTGGACATCTGGTCGATTGGCTGCGTCATGTACACTCTGCTGGTGGGCCAGCCGCCGTTTGAGACCAAGACGCTGAAGGACACTTACTCGAAGATCAAGAAGTGCGAGTACCGCGTCCCCAGCTACCTGAGGAAGCCGGCGGCGGACATGGTCATTGCCATGCTGCAGCCCAATCCGGAGAGCCGTCCTGCGATTGGGCAGCTTCTGAACTTCGAGTTCCTCAAGGGCTCCAAGGTGCCCATGTTCTTGCCCAGCTCTTGTCTGACGATGGCACCGCGTATCGGCAGCAACGACACCATCGAGGACTCTGTGCACCGCAAGCCGTTGAGTGAGATGAATGGCATCAGGCCCGACGACACCCGTCTGGAGTCGACCTTCCTCAAGGCCAATCTGCACGACGCCATCACCGCCTCGGCGCAGGTGTGTCGTCACAGCGAGGATTATCGCAGCGATATCGAGAGCCTGCACCAGCAGCTCACCAATCTCATCAACGGCAAGGTAATTGCTTTGTTTTGTTAGCTCTTAAATTGCATTGGCCCACTGCCTTTTCTTCTCTTTATGATTACTAAACATTTTCAATTTTAGCCGCGAATTTTGCAAGGCAATTTGGGCGACGAAAACACCGATCCTGCAGCACAGCCGCTCTTCTGGATATCCAAGTGGGTGGACTACAGCGACAAGTACGGCTTCGGTTACCAGTTATGCGATGAGGGTATCGGCGTGATGTTCAACGACACCACAAAGTTGATCCTGCTGCCCAATCAGATCAACGTGCACTTCATCGACAAGGACGGCAAGGAGAGTTACATGACCACCACGGACTACTGCAAGACGCTGGACAAGAAGATGAAGTTGCTGTCCTACTTTAAGCGCTACATGATCGAGCATTTGGTGAAGGCTGGCGCCAACAATGTCAACATCGAGAGCGATCAGATCTCGCGTATGCCGCATCTGCATTCCTGGTTCCGCACAACCTGTGCCGTGGTTATGCATCTAACCAACGGATCCGTGCAGGTAAAGCTTTTAGAGTAATATCTAAAATAACGATAGTTAAACTGAACCAACTGTTCCTCCTTTAGCTCAACTTTTCGGACCACATGAAGCTCATCCTCTGCCCACGCATGAGTGCCATCACCTATATGGATCAAGAGAAGAACTTCCGCACATACAGATTTTCGACCATCGTGGAGAACGGCGTGTCTAAAGACTTGTACCAGAAGATCCGCTATGCCCAGGAAAAACTTAGGAAAATGCTGGAGAAGATGTTCATCTAAATGTAGCCGGCGAAGTATCATTTTAAGGCCGAATATTAGTTTAAGCTAATTCACGAATGCCCTGGCCAACTTCACATTTATCCCAAAACGGATCCTCACCCATTTTAAAATTGTAGTTTCTGTTCAAATTTATATGATTGTTCGATGTTTTAGAATTTGTTTGTTTTCGCCTTTCATCGTTCATTTACTGGTTAAGTTGTATTCATCACCAATGTAAGGCCACCCCTTAAAAATATATATATATACATATAAGTTAATCAACGAATTCCCTGGCCAACATTACATACTGTCCTAAACCATGCCATCTTAAGACTATAGTTTCTGTTCAAATTGATGAAAGTTTAATGTTTAGGGCAGTGTCTGGCTCAAAGGCCATCCCTTGAAAATATATAAATACAATTGTTTAATGGTTTTCGTACACGATCACTTAATAAAATTATAAAGTACTAAAATTAATGTTTGAATTAAGCAATTCACTCAGCTGACTGATATCTCCATTAAAACGCTGGGTATTTTATGATACTTGTAGTGTAATTATTTCAGTTTGTAATGCGCTGCAGCGTCATTAAATATAATAAATATCCTAAAGTGAACGCACGTATGAAAATGCTTTACAAGACAATTATTTTCTAATTAGTATTGGCCAGGAATACAGTTCGTGATAAGAAACAATTTGTAATTGCTTTTAAGGAAAAAGCGCTTATGTAATATAATAAAATATGTGAAAATAAATCATTATACAGCTATTTTTAAAGAAATCAACGGTTTAAAGCAGTAAAGTTGGTACTTTAGCACTTTTTTTAAATTGTAACGGATCTTCACTAATTTTATGATTTGTCATGCATACAAGATAAATAATTTTCTTAGAACTTTATTATATTGCATACAGTTGATAAGGATTTTGAACTAAAAAACGGTTAATGCCTGATATTTTACAACACTGGTAAATCAATTGTTTCGTTGTTATTAGCGCCGTGGCTAGCGAAGGTAACACTGGCAAGAGTGGAGGCGTTTTGGTCACTCTAATCAGCATATTGATTTTATTTTCCTGAAAATTAAAGATTCCAGTACGTACACGCCAGCTGAAAGGCCGAATAAGTCTCATTATTTAGATGCAATAAGTGCCGAGCCGGACATAAATCCTCGACATGGGTGACAACGAACAGAAGGCGCTCCAGCTGATGGCCGAGGCGGAGAAGAAGTTGACTCAACAGAAGGGTTTTCTGGGATCGCTATTCGGGTTCGTACCTGCTAAATTTCGCAATGGGGAGGTGGGGAAAGAAACGACTTTGTTCCTAGTCTTGCTTTCTATTTCCACATTCTCCGTTGCTCCAGATGCTATACTACATAGCAATGGATGAATTCTTAAGCAATGCCAATTCCACTGCAGTTACTATACATATCTTATACCTACTCACAATAATACGTATACGTAGATGTGGACTCTACGCCTCCACCTAGAAAAGAAAACAGACAAAAGGGCGAGTTTAACTGATAATGCGTTTGTGATACATATGTATTACAGGAAATATGCAAAAATATTGATAAGCAAGCCCATTTAATCGTTGTGCGTATTGGCATTGGTTAATATAAAGTATACGCATGAACTGACTTTCATATAGATATTGATGAATCATAGTGTTCAAAAGTTTAACTACCAAAATCAAAATGGGGAAAAAAAGAAATCGAAATAAATTTAAAATGGAGATGTTTTCATGCCGGTCAGCACCAATCAACAGTCCCATTCTGGCTTTAACTTTCAAAGATCTTTCCAGAAAACGATTTAAAAATTGAAAAACCTCTAAGCTTTAAACTTTTCAGATCTTTCCAGAATTCCATTTTAAAAATGAAAAACTTTTAAGTTGCTATCAACAGTTAAGAGATATCAAATTCGAATAAGATATTTTAAACTAAATTTAACTTGTATACCATAGCAGCTTTTAATAGCCTTGTAAAGATATATTAGCATTAATTTTTAATGTATTAATATAAATAAATAAATGTTAACTTAAAAACCTCCATCTGCCATTTACTAATCTATATCTAACGTTTTAGTGGCTCCAACAAGGTGGAGGACGCCATCGAGTGCTACCAGCGGGCGGGCAACATGTTCAAGATGTCCAAGAACTGGACAAAGGCCGGCGAGTGCTTCTGCGAGGCGGCCACACTGCATGCCCGGGCTGGAAGTCGACACGACGCGGGAACCTGCTACGTGGACGCCTCCAACTGCTACAAAAAGGTGGACGTGGAGAGCGCCGTCAACTGCCTGATGAAGTCCATCGACATCTACACGGACATGGGCCGCTTCACGATGGCCGCCAAGCATCACCAGAGCATCGCCGAGATGTACGAGAGCGATCCTAACACTCTGGTGGGTTCAAATCTATCTGAAAAGATTGACACACATTTATTGTCTATTTCACTTTGTCCAGGCCAAGTCCGTTCAGCACTACGAACAAGCAGCTGACTATTTTAAGGGCGAGGAGTCGGTCAGTTCGGCCAACAAGTGCATGCTTAAAGTGGCCCAGTACGCCGCCCAGCTGGAGGACTACGAGAAAGCAATATCCATATACGAGCAGGTGGCCGCCTCCTCGCTGGAGAGCTCTCTGCTCAAGTACAGTGCCAAGGAGTACTTCTTCAGGGCCGCCCTCTGCCATTTGAGCGTGGATCTCCTGAACGCTCAGCATGCCATCGAGAAGTATGCGCAGCAGTATCCAGCATTCCAGGACTCACGAGAGTTCAAGCTCATCAAGGTGGGTTATTGCTCGATTTAGGGTTTTTTTTTTCTATATTTTAAACATTATCTTAAGGTTTTAAGAACCTAATCCAAACTAGAATCCACTTTACAATATATTATTATTTTATTAGCGAATTGACTCTGAAACATTTAGTATTTAAGTCTGTGAAAACAGGTTCATCTTCTGAATATTTTATATTATAACTATTAAAATTATTCCCAATTACTAATGGTTTTTATTTTGTTACAGGTGTTGTGCGAGCATCTCGAGGAACAGAATATCGAGGGATTCACAGAGGCCGTCAAGGATTACGACAGTATCTCCCGGTTGGATCAGTGGTACACCACCATCTTACTGCGTATCAAAAAGGCTGCGGATGAGGATCCCGATCTGCGATAAAATAATCAATTACACTTTCTGATGAAGTCGCGTACACATTTATTAAATGCTTTATTCGGTTCGGATATTAACCTACCTACATATATATAACTAAAAGAAAATTAATTAAACGTGTTGCATTGCTAAACCAGAAAGCACCCAAAAGACAGCCTGCCTAACCGCGTGAATTGAACTTACTGAATAGTCCACATACCCGTATTCTAGAGGTTAAATTAACGCTTATGCAACGAATGAAAAATAAGCAGAAGCCACGGTCATCTTGCGTTACTAAGTGCTATTCTATTAAATCTTATTATTTCCAATATGAAGTGATTTGAGGTGTTATGTTTGCCTGTTTTTGCGTTATTCTTGTTATTTGTGTAAGTAGCCAATCATTAAGTTAGCTGCTGTTTTATATGGATGCGTTAAATACCCTATAGAAATCCATACTACTATTGACATATTGATATATTTCATTCTATGTGTGTACTGTGTTAGATTACTTCGAGATTAATTAAAAAGTCCCTGGTAGTGAGCGAACATCAATTTCAAAACAAATTATAATTCGATTTACTGCACAGAGAAAATTAAAACATGCAGTTTTAGATTGTACGCATATACACAACCTATAAATAAAATATATGTCCATATAAACATAAACGATTATCCCTATAAATATTCAAAATAGGAAACGGAATTCAAATAAATACTTGAGGGTCACATTTATAGGAAATTCCATCTCGCAAAATTTTAAAAAATGTTTAGTAGATCAACTCTCTATAAACATGTACGAAAAAGTTATAATCCAATAAATAAAATTACGACGGAGCGGCGAAGATTACTGTCTCGGGCGCTGAGGCCGAAACAAAATATCAATTTATTGAATGAATATCTTCAGGAAACACAATACACAACTAAAACTCACAACACATTTAATTAATACCAATGCAAGGATCTAAGTAATGCCTCTATGCAAGCATTACCTTAGATATTTCCAATTAATATACATACTTTAATAAAGTTACATGCTTGGATCAATCCTGTCATCCTGTCTTCGTATCCAACGATTTTTGTCAATATACGCACAACCAATCCAGCCACATCCATTGTCTTTCTCTTCATTGTTATAAATACACTTTTACCCAACTTTTGATATGACTTAGAAGACCTTCAATAGCATAGTTTGCATCCTGGGCTGTTTAAGAAACCTTATTTGTATTGTAAGATATTTCAGATTGCACTCTATGGTACTGTATATAGGTAATGACAAAGGTGTAAGGTGCAATAATGGGTTAGTTTTTCAAATCACAAATTGTTTGTATTGAAAATCAAAGCAGCAACTATCTATATTATTAGTTGAATTTAATTTAAATCAATTTATTAACAGATTTAACTAATTGCTGAAAATGGTTGATTATTATAGACCATACCAGATACTTTCGGTTTAATCTTACAAACGAAATCTTTGACATTTGAAAATATCTCTCATTTTTAAATCACTTTGTCTGACATACAGTAAAAATTACAAGATTAAATCTTCCAATCAGCTAAAATGTATTGTATTATAAATCAAAGCAGCCAGTGCCTATATTAGTAATATTATTATAAAAATAGTTAATTGATAGATAAAACTGGGGTGTGAGGGTTTAGGTTTTTAAAAGATTTTCATAAAAAATCCCTTGATAGTTTAAAATATCTCTTATTTTCAGATCACTTTGTCTCTCAACCTAGTAAAACTAGGTTGAACTGCCACTATCTTTAGGATTAGGAACATGGTTGTTAGTCTGGTCTTGCCCGGAGATGTCAACCAGTTTCCATTTCGATCTGCTGAACGGATCAGCTGCACAGTAGTATAGTAGTATGGTAGTATAGTAGTACAGTAGTATTTCCACCTGATCGTGCGAACTGAGGTGCTTTCGCGAACGTCATTGTCAAGAGCGGCAGACAAAGGCCTTGTTGTGGCGGGCATCGATTTCGGATTAGTGCTCTCGCTCTGGCTCTCTGGATCCCCCAGTCTGAGTCCGAATCGGAGTCCGAGTCCGAAACCGAATCCGAATCGGGGTTCTCTGATTTAGAGTCGGACTTTCGGAAGCGATGACGATGAGATGAGATGAGGTGAGGGGAGGGGAGATGGCGATGGCGATGACTATGACCATATCAGTGCTCTGGAGGGTCGATGGTGCTGTCGTCTCTCAGTCAATCAGCCAGTGTCCGTGCGTTAGGTTCACATTTTTCGTGGCGAGTGGTACTGCAGCTACCATCGAGTTCTTCCCAATTTCACCATTGGCCGATTCCAGAAATGAAAATAATAAATAAATAGAATTATATAAACGCAAAACCAATACGCGAACGCATATATGTACATATACCTTGCTGCTGACGGAGTATTTGTATATCTGTGGAATTCCCAGTGCATTCCGGTTTTTCGAATAACATTCAAACCAACAACGGTGTCTATATAAACGTCGCTTCGTCAGAGAGTCACACAGAAACACCGACATCGAAAAACCCCAAAAAACGACAATAAAAATTAAAAAAAAAAAAACGTCAATAATTGATGCACAACCACATGATTAAGCTTAACTGTGACTCCATTCGCACAAGTCTGATAACCGAGGCTTAAACTAACTTTCCCTTCTAGCCACAAAATGCTCAGAATACCAGGTAAAATCAATTAACATTTAACTATGGGATAATCCATACTGAAATCAATATGCTTATTGAATATTTTACAAGTACTCGTGTGTCCGCTGACAACATATATACGTGTGTATGTTTAAGGTCGTCAACGGATCAGCGCTATCAGTTGGAAAATAGTCATTGTTTACGCGTGGGGGATTAATACTATATAAATTCTGGGGAGTGTTTTTAGGATTTTATTAGATTTTATTAACCCGGAAATATGTTTGTATTGCCAGAGAGACGAATTTAAGTGTAAGAATGTAAAAACTGAATTTTGTCATAATGTACCTATAGTAACAGATTTTTTTTTTATTATTTATTTATTTTTTTTTTTTATAACCTTCTGTTACTAGAATAATCAACTTGAGATATAGTAACAGATTGTTTTACTCCACAAATGGTTTGTAGTATTAAGATTTAATTTTAAAACCCAGAATTTGGAGGCAAATTAATTAGTTATTTGCTGAAAATAATTGATAGGTCAAAGGTCGGATGTTTAAGTACAGAAGTTTTTTCTTAAACATTTCAGTTCAAATGCATTGTTTCAGTATACAAAGAAATTGCATTTTAAACTGCTCTTTAAATTTTAAATATATTTTTTTAATAATGTTCCTAAGTCGATAACATTTTAAAGTCATTGAATAATGATACAAACTTCTACATTTACAATTCACCTCACCAATTAGGGAATATTTTTAAATTCATATATATTTTTAGAGTTACCTTAGCCCATAAGCCAGATAAGGATTAAATCCTTTAATAAATAAAATCTTAAACGATTCAATAAATTGCAGAACGCGTGATGGTGTGGCTCCCATTGCTCTTGGGGGCGATCTTCCTGTGCTCCGCGAATCCTCAAAGCAGCAGAGCTCCGCCCCAACTGTCGGTGGGCATTCCCCTCACCCCCTTGACGGCACCCGAAGCCTTTGAGCGCGGTGGCAGCTTCATCCCGTCCATGCGGAGCGACTTCGGCAACGATGTCCTCGTCAGCATTTCGCAGGGCGTTCAGGACTTTGCCCTCGATCTCCTCCAGCGCATATCCGTCGAGGTGGAGAAGTTCAACAGGGACTTCATGATATCGCCCTTCTCCATTTGGTCCCTGCTGGTGCTTCTGTACGAAGGATCCGAGGGGGAGACCTACAACCAGCTGCGCAGCGTCCTGCGGATCAATGTCGAGGACGAAAAGCTGCGTGGAGCCTACAAGGTGTGGAGCTCATTTCTCAAGTGAGTGGAACATACGATTGATGCACATAAAATGTACTGATTGATTTGCTTTTAAAGCACGACCACGCCCACCATCGAGGTGGCCACCCTTCAAGCCATTTACACCGGCAAGGACTATCCCATCAAGAACACCTACCGAAATGCCATCCAGAACTACAATGTGCAGCCCGTGGAGGTGGACTTCAACAGCCCGGACTCGGTGCTGCAGATCAACGAGGACACAAATCGCGCCACCCGAGGCCTGATTCCGTACACCATTCTGCCACAGGACATATACGGGGCCAAGATGTTCCTGCTCTCCTCGCTGTACTTCAAGGGCCAGTGGAAGGTTAGGTTTTGAGGTGCTCTATCCCACATGTCCCTTTCATCCCTTACATCCTCTTCGATTCCAGTTGCCCTTCAACAAAACCCTGACAAGAGATGAACCCTTCTACAACGAGAACGGCGATGTCATCGGCCAGATACCCATGATGGTGCAGGAGGCGGACTTTGCCTACGCCTCCAACATAGAGGGTCTGGATGGCTACGTCCTGGAGCTGCCCTATGGCAAACAGAACAGACTGTCGATGCTGGTGGTGCTGCCCAAGCGGGGCTTCAAGCTAAACGATGTGGCCAACAATCTGAAGACCATCGGACTGCGACCCATCCTTCAGAGACTGGAGACTTTCAGGAAGAGGGCCCCCGAGGACAACGAGGTAGAGGTCATGATGCCCAAATTCATTACATCCACGGACTTTGCACTCAAGGGAATCCTAAACGAGGTGGGTAAAACCGTCAGCCTAAGATCCATTGGCCAGTTTTTTGACACAACCCCTTTCCCTTTCCCAACCCAGATGGGCGTTCGGAATCTGTTCAATGAGAGTACCGCCAATCTGAACCGCATGTCATCGGGACTGTTCGCCAAGCTGGTGATCCACTCCACCAAGATCATCGTAAACGAGCAGGGCACCACGGCGGGTGCGGTCACGGAGGCCTCGCTGGTCAACAAGGCCACGCCGCCCAAGTTCCAGATGAACCGCCCCTTCCAGTACATGGTCGTGGAGAAGGCCACCGGCCTGCTGCTCTTCGCCGGCCAAGTGAGGAACCCCAAGGCGGCCTAGGGATCCGGACCAGACCTTGTTCACATACCGCAATAAATACGTTACGTTAAGTCAACCGATGTTTATTTCTTGGTAGCATACCAGACTCCTTTTTGGATCCTTGGGTAAATACGGTAGACTGATATATCCCTCGCTTTAGTCCAAATTGGTTTCTGTTTCTGTATGCAATGGATTTCCTAAGAGCTAAGGGCTTTTATAATCTTTTCCAATATCTGTTGTTATGAAGTTGGGAAAATCAAGACATGTACTCGAAATATAAAGTTGTTTATAGATTTGGCCTGAAAAACTCAGTGAAAATAGTGAACTGTAAATAATAAAAATGTTTTAAGGAGAAGTTAATACAAGAGAGAGTTAATTTAAGAGTTTTTATAGTAATTTTTAAAATATTTCACTTTTATTTATAAATAATAATAATCTTTAACACACGAGTTACACTAATAATGGCTAGGTCCTCGCCAGTCACGATGAAATCGCGAAAGATCTTCGGACCGATGTATCTTTGTTTACAAGTTTACACATGAAGTTTACAACCAAATGTTGCTAAATGGACGAATGTGGACATAAGATGTAGTCCCAAGGGAACTTCAATTCTGGCTATCTACTCCTCATGGCTTGCGACCTTCACATCGCAAACGATCGAAATGAATGAGTTTCAACGCATTAAACCACATAGAATCCAGTTAAAAATTATGGATATGGGATTTGCGGGGTGAAGTCTGAAGAAATGTTAATAGTTTGTAACTAAAAATAAATCCCCTACGTTTCTTCTGTATTTTCTTGGAAAACATTATATTTGATCTGGTCCGGAGTTGAAGGTTTTTAACCGTGAAATACCTATAAGCCTGTCCTGTATGTAAATATTGAGCCGGTCATGTCAATCCAACCAAGTCGAAGGAATTGAAACATGTAGCAAGTGTATCAATTGCAACAACAACTTGGATTTCAAGCAGGAACTTTGTTCTCCCCACTAAATTATGATCATGTTTTATGTTCTCCGATATCTTCTACTGAGGGCCTCATCATCAATGTTTAAAAAATATCTGTAACGAAGCCTATTTTTCCTTAAAAATAAAGAAATATAAAATTTGTAATGTACCGATAATAAAGTTAAGGAGGGACCAGCCAAGTGAGTTATAGGCAGGAAGTCATGAATAAATCTTTTTCAATTGAAAAATGGGAAAGGAAAACAAGGTAATGTATTAAAGCTCTGATAAGTAAATATTAACTTTCTTTTAAAAAATGTTAGTACTTAGCAAATACTAAAAACAAATACAGGCAATTGGCGTGACAGTGCAATGTGCTACTCACTAAAAAAACCATTGACACTATATACATTTCCCAGAAGGTCTAAAATTTTATAAAATATTTCTTTAGATATTATCATGTCTACAGTGCCTACTTTAAACAATTGTAAGAAATGTAACAAGCTTGTGAACGGGAAGAATTAGAAAGAATTGCTTAGAAATAGTGGATTCATTAACTGTTATACTTTTCGGGATCGAAACGTGAAAAGCGCCTCTGCCTAAGAAAAGTAAAATTACCATGAAGGTGACACAATTTAGAAAACAATCAATCGGCTATACATAATGAGAAAAAGAGCTGTAAAATGCAGATGGAATTGAATTAAGCCAGCCAGAAAGTATATAAGAAGGGATTTTGCCATTTTACTATACATTTGTGAATAGAGAAGTCTTGGGTGTCAAGCCACATAGTTATAGTACACGGTGTTCAATATCATTACAACTCCCATGACGATGGGGCTCCCTTTGCTTTTGGTCTCTATTGTCCTTTTTTTGGCGCCGGAGCAATATGCCCAGTCGACAATGGACACCGTATCCCAGGGACTTGAAAATTTTTCCCTCGATTTCCTGCAACGCGTAGCCTTGATCAGTGAAAAATACAACCATAACTTCATGATATCGCCCTTCTCCGTGTGGTCCCTCCTGGTGCTCCTCTACGAGGGATCGGAAGGGGTAACCCGCAACCAGCTGCGCCAGACCCTGCGCATCAATGTGGATGACAAGTCACTACGAAGCTTCTACGAGGCGCGGGGACAATTGCTGAAGTGGGTATACAAGACCATCTTACTAATACTAATAATTACTTTCCACTATTGACAACTTAGCACCGCAACATCCGGAGTCGATGTGGACTCTTTGCTGGCCATTTACACCGACAAGAGGTATTCAATCAAGAGAGGCTACCGGGACACCATCCAGAACTACAAAGTCCAGCCCCACCAGGTGGACTTCTACGCCGAGGACACGGTGCGCCGGATCAACGACGCCATAAAGAGCAGCACCCGAGGTCTTATAAAAGGCTCTGTGAAGCAACAGGATTTGCAGGGAGCCAAGATGTTTCTGCTCTCTGCGCTTTATTTCAAGGGCCAGTGGAAGGTAAGGTTTTGAGGTGCTCTATCCCACATGTCCTTTGCTAAAATCCGCTTCGATTCCAGTTGCCCTTCAACAAAACCCTGACAAGAGATGAGCCCTTCTACAACGAGAAGGGTGAGGTCATCGGCCAGGTACCCATGATGGTGCAGGAAGCGAACTTCGCCTACGCCTCCAACATAGAGGGCCTGAATGCCTATGCCCTGGAGCTGCCCTATGGAGCCGAGGAGAGGGTTTCTATGATCGTGTTGCTGCCCAAACGTGGCGTCAAACTAATGGACTTGGCCAACAATCTGAAGACCATCGGATTGCGGCCCATCCTTCAGAAGCTGGCTGCCTTCAGGAGTACTGCCCCTATGGACAACGTGGTGGAGGTCCTGATGCCCAAAATCAAGACATCCTCGAAGCTCGCATTGAAGACTATCCTTATGCAGGTTGGTGACCTTTACTTATCTTTTTTTAACCTTAATCTTAACTTCAATCATTATTGATTGGCTTCAGCCACAAAAATGAACATCGTAAAATTTAGCTGCAATTCGAAAAAGTAATGTATTATTTTATTCAAAGCATTCTTTATAAAATGTAAATTTTTGATTCTCGAAGCCTAATTTAATTCTAAAATCCCATTTTGCTGTTCGCATGATAATCTTGTTTGAAAATCGTTAGAAATGACTTTTAAGTTTTTGAAATTCTAATAAATCCTGATTAAACCAATAATCTTTAATTACCTAGATGGGCATTCGGGATCTGTTCGATGAGCGTTTCGCCAACCTGAACCGCATCGCGTTGGGATTGTTTGCTTCACAAGTCGACCACTCCACCAAGATCATTGTGGACGAGGAAGGCACCACAGCGGCAGCGATTACGGTGGCTTTACTGGTTAACAGGGCCGCTCCGCCCAAGTTCCAGATGAACAGGCCCTTCCAGTACATGATCGTGGATAAGGCGACTGGCCTGCTGCTCTTCGCCGGCCAAGTGAGGAATCCCAATGAGGAATAAAGGTCAGAGCCGGACTTTAGTCATAATCCTCTTTTTATGGATTCTTGGTTATACCGTAAATATGAATAAAATGACTGGTTTATAACGAAATGTTATAATCAAAAGTCCGATGCTGAAATATAAAAAGCATTTTTTATTTAAAATCAATACAAAATATTTTAACTACCTGACAACGAGCTACACACTTAACCGAATAGTTTTCTGTGTCACTCCCACTAAGAAGTGTTTTTATATGTCTGACATTAGATTTATTATCAAGGATCGTTTGGAAAAGAAGTTTTCATACTTAAAAGTTCACAAATTTAGAACAAGTTTAATCTTGACTATTTGACTTGCATTTTGTAGAAAGAAAAAAAGGATGAGTTTCTATGAACTGACCACAAAGATTCTATTTATAAAATACGTGGATTGCTTAAGTATAACAAAGTATTTAAAAATATATGCTGAGCATCAGTAACTGCCCTACTTTAAGCTTTAAACAATACTGCCATGCACTGGAAGTAGTAATAAAGGTTATCTATAACCAATCAAGTCAAGTGCACGAAAATAATTTGTGAAATGTAGTTGGAAATTGAAATTTACTATGTGGTGTACTCAGAGCGTGGCTTGGAATATTGAACCACACAAATCTCTAATTTTAAGTCCAACCAGTAAGTATATAAACAGGTTTCCACCTTATTAAATGTCCAGTTTCTAATTCTGTTGAAGAGAAGTTCCGGTTGTAAAACTAATTCAAGAATAAAACAGCACAAATATTCTTGATCAGTACCTGCACATCACGTGATGTTGAAGCTTCCATTGCTTTTGGTGTCTATTGTCACCTTTTTGGCGCAGGAGCACTATGCCCAGTCGACGCAGGACTCCATATCGCGGGGAGTTGAGAACTTTTCCCTCGATCTCCTGCAACGAGTAGCCGTGAAAAGCGAACAATCCAGCAAGAACTTCATGATATCGCCCTTCTCCGTGTGGTCCCTCCTGGTGCTCCTCTACGAGGGATCGGAAGGGGAAACCCTTAACCAGCTGCGCCAGACCCTGCGCATCAGTGTGGATGACGAATCACTGCGAAGCTTCTACAACTCGCGGAACCAATTGCTGAAGTGGGTATACAAAACCATCTACAGAAGAGTACAGTTGACATTAATTCACTTTACTAATACTAATGATTACCATCTACTATTGATTACTCAGCACCGCAACATCCGGAATCGAGGTGGGCTCTTTGCTGGCCATTTACACCGACAAGAGTTATTCCATCAAGAGAGGCTACCGGGACACCATCCAGAACTACAAAGTGCAGCCCCAGGAAGTGGACTTCTACGCCGGGGATACGGTGCGCCGGATCAACGACGCCATAAGTAGCAGCACCCGAGGTCTTATAAAAGACTCTGTGAAGCAACGAGATCTGCGGGGAGCCAAGATGTTTCTGCTCTCATCGCTCTACTTTAAGGGCCAGTGGACGGTAGGGATATTACATGTTCGCTCGAAGAGATCCTTCAACCAATGCTCTTCTATCGCAGTTCGCTTTCAACGCAGCGATGACCCGGACAGAACCGTTTTACAACGAGAACGGTGCTGTTGTCGCCCAGGTGCCCATGATGGTGCAGGAAGAGGGTTTCGCTTACTCCTCCAAAATACGGGGTCTGGGTGGTCAGATCCTGGAGTTGCCCTACGGCTCCCTGGAATGGATGTCGATGATCGTGGTGCTGCCCGACCCTGGCGTTACGTTGAACACCTTGGCCAAGAACCTTAAGGCCGTGGGATTGCAACCCCTTCTTCAGGAGCTGGCTGATTACAAAGCCAAGTACGGAACTGAAGACAAAGTGGAGGTTGTGGTGCCCAAGTTCGAAACAACCACGGACCTTTCACTCAAGGAAATTCTAAGCCAGGTGAGTAAAGTCTTAACAACTATTTTAGGTTTGAGTTTGAGAGCAGCAAGACTTTAAAATTTGTTCAGAAAAATTGGATTTAAAAACCTATTATTAAATAGCTTTTAGCATTTTCTTTTTAAAATTGAAATTTGTTCAGAAAAATTGGAATTTAAAACCAATTATTAAATATTTAAATATGATCATATTTTACATTTTTTTTTTAACCGATTACTTAAACGAATTTCCTTGACGATAATTAAAAATGTGATTGCTAACCCAAATCTAAAGTTCTAACCTGGTAATTTTGGTAGCCTGTTCCTAAGCAAACCTCTTTTTGATCCTTTTAAAACTGCCTAGATGGGCATCCGAGACCTATTCGATCAGAGAAGCGCCAACCTGGGCCGCATGGCGCCGGGATTGTTTGCGTCGCTCTGCAAGCACTCCACCAAGATCATCGTCAATGAGCAAGGCACCACGGCAGCAGCGATCACGCAGGCGTCGCTGGCCAACAGGTTCGCTTCAGACCCGATTCGACTGAACAGGCCCTTCCAGTACATGATCGTGGAGAAGGAAAGCGGCCTTCTGCTCTTCGCCGGCCAAGTGCGAAACCCAAAGGCTTCTTAGAGAATTAAGCGTGCCACAATAAATACGTTACGTTTAGTCAAATCAGTTTTATTTCTTGGTACGACCGGCGGCCTTTTTGCCACCAACGGGCTGCTGTTTGTCTTTGCTGGCCTTGCTGGAGATGAGGGGATGTGTTTCTAAAAGAAAGGAACACTCAATTATTAGCCATTAGGGGGTTTTTTTTGATCTTACCATCGGTTGGTGCATCGGGCAGGCTGACATCGTAGAGCTGCATGCGTCGGCGCTTGGACGCCATTATGTCGTCCTCGTAGTCATGCGGATCCGAGCTGAGCATTACAGCACTGGCTTCCATTCCGTCCTGACCAGCCCAGCCGTCCTCGGGATCCTCCACCTCCGGCGCCATCGGCAGGAACTGCAGCGCGTTCTCATCCTCGCCCTCCTCGTCGGAGGAGCAAAAGGCAGCCACTGGCTCCACCTTCTGCACATCCACCTCGATCTCCTCGTCCTGCTGCGCGTCAGCGTTCAGATCCACCGACTTGTCCTCGTCCGCAATGTCGAATTCCGACTCCCGCTCCTCGTACTCTACATTCTCATCCAATTCCTTAAAATCTGGTGCAAAGGCCGACCAGTTTTCCACTTGATTTTGAGCCCAAATGGAGACCAGTCCGGAGCTAATGCTGGCAATGATGGGGCGCACTGGATGCCACACTACGTCTAAGAGCAACTCACCCTTGGTGCCGTGCAGGATCTTCACAAGATTGCCAATGGACTTCTCCCAAATGTAGAGAGCATGCTGGCGAGCACTGCCTGCGCAAATGTACTCGCCATCGCCGGAAAAGCAGCATTTCTTCCAAGTTGTCCTTAAAGAAGACTCAATGTTAGGTATGCAACTGCATTAATTTAGTTTTTACTTGTTGACCAAGTCCTGCAGCTTTTGTATAGGTTCCGGTTCGCCGTCTTTGCCCAGGGTGATGATTTCTTTCGAGTCGTAAACGCGAATAACTCGATCAGAGGTGTTGATAAGAAATGCGCTAAAAGGCACGTTAAAATAACTTTAATAGAGAAACTAGATCTTCCATTTTTCACTTACTCTCCACGTCTTGCAAATTCAATGCTCTTTACTGCTGTTGCACTCGAGGTGCCCACAATGATGCGAAAACTGGCCACCACCTCGAAGGTTTCCACATCCAGGACAAGAATTTTACCCTTGGCATTGCCTGTGTAAATGTGCTTGCCTCTGCGATCGAACGAAGCCACTATGTTCAAATCGCCCTAAAAAAAACAGATTTTAAAATATGTAACTACAAATGGTATGACCAAACGTACATCTGAGTCCAAGGGCAGGCAGCGATGGGTTCCGCCGATCTCCACTAGAACGGCGGCATATCGCATGGGGCAGACCAGAATTCGGTTGTCATTGCGCGGATCGAACTGGACTTTCAGCACAGGCGAGGGAAACCTGTACTTGTGCTCCAGTTCGCCGGTTAGTACGTCCCAAATGCAAACATTGTTGTCCGTCGAAGCCGAGAGCAACTGAAGTGGGATGGAAAGTTATAACAACTATGGATTATGGAGCAGTAGGACTCACCTTATGACCATTCCGGGTCCAACTGAGACTGCAGACGGGGTGCACATGGGCGGAAATTATCTTGGCAATGCCCCGCGTCAAAAAATCCCATATTACAATGCGGCCATCATTGCAGCCAACGGCCAAGAGGGTTCCGTATTTGTTAAAGGCACATGTCACGGCTAGGGAAATGCAATCCAGAGAGCCGTCGAACTCCTCGGGGTAGTTCTGTCCAAAAGATTCTGAACAGCATTGTGTTATTTATAATAAATAATGGGTTTCGCGCGTTTCTTACCCAGCAGCTCCAAATTCATTTTTGTTTACTACCTTCTTCTTCCAAAATGGTAGCTGCCATTCACAGCATTAACATTAAATGTTAATTAACATAGAACATAGCCCATGCGATAGTTAACTTAATTTTTATTTCAGCTATTAAGTGAATTTGCTTATACTATGTGTTGCTATTTGCATAAAATAATCAAACAAATCAGTTTTAAATTTTAAGTCAAAATTCTTTAAGATTAAATACCTCTTTTGGAAAGTTAATTGAAATTAGAAAAAGGGCATATAGGTATATTAGTGGATTTGTTAATCTCTTTCTGCTTCAATTGTAACGTAAGAGTTATGATAAGTTTTATATATAAGAACATATTTTTTTATAACTGACTGGTACTCATTTAAACAAACTAATCGTAGGCGGCAGTGTCCTCTCTAGTACCAACGATATTGTCATCCACAAACCTTAAAACTTTGGAAATATCGATAGTGCCGTCGGAGTTTCCCCACCTCTAATTTTTGAGCTCTGTGCACGTTGTATGTGAAAAATTTATGCAGTTGTATTCGCCAATTGTAACCAAGCCCGTATTGTGAAATTGCAAGCAGACGTGTACCAGCATAATTAGTGCACTAATTTGTTCGAGCAAATGTTTCGAAAATCGTCATTTGCGGGACATTTTGGCCGTGGCACGCGATTGTGTCAACGTCACCTTTGGAGCACTCGCTCTCTCTCGCTCGCTCTTACTCCCTCTCTCGCTGCCAATTTTTTGCGTGCCCTCTCTCGCTCGCTCCCGAAAGCTTAACGATTCGAGTGAAATAATGAAATAACCGAGTTTCAACTTTCGTTTGTATCAAAAGTGCGGGGCTTTAATGTTAAAATTGCTTTTAGTTTCAAACTGTTTGTTTTTAAGTCTGTCTTCGAGGTTTTCTAGTTGGCCAGCCAGAAAGAGAGGGAGTGTGCAAACGCAATTACGGTGCTCGCGCTCTGCTTGTGCTTTCAATTCGGCTCTCTCTTTCCCCCCCCCCACCGTATTTACTGTGTGTGTGTGTGTACATGGTTATTTTAAAGGTTTTTACAAATTGCAGTGTATTCATCGCCAGCCACGTTAAAAGGAAGAACGTGTATGTGAATACGACCAGCAGAGAAGCTAAAAGAAGGATTCAGGAGCCCGAAATTCTCAATCCCCATCCCACGCAGGCACACATAAAAGCAAACAACGAGCAAAATGTCTGGAGAGGAAACGTCTGCCGATCGCAATGTCGAGATCTGGAAAATCAAGAAGCTCATCAAGAGCCTGGAAATGGCCCGCGGGTGAGTTGTCGTTATCGATATCAATGTTATGTCCTGTTCCCCATCTCCTTTGTGTACGTGTGTGGGGTATACATAAAGACAACAATATGGGGGTGGAAGTGGGCGTATCGGAAGTGGGTGGGTGCGTGGGGGAGCACCGAGTACAACCACCTTTCCTTGTTGTTGCCGAGTGACTCTCCTTTGCAATGTTTCCAATCTCCGCATGATCCCTCTCTCGCCCCCTCTCTCTTTTTTGCATACAAGCAACACGTTTTTGTCGGGTTTTTATCAGTTCAAACTAGACTGATTGAGTGAGAGAGAGCGAGAGTGTGAGTGAGTAATGCGCCTCGTGGCTGTTGTGCGTGTGCGTGCCTATGTATGTTTGTGTGCCCCAAAATGGGCCAAGCTTTGTTTTCCCACCTCTCTCACTCTGTCTCTTTCCCTCTCTTGACCCGGTCCTTACCGCTTTACTCCGCTTCAAAGTGGATAACAAGGTCAGCAAATCGAGTGACCCCGCAGGAACGTACATATGTATATATTTTGGTACTAACACACAGTTAGGGCCAACATAATACAGCTGCCAACTGGAGTTTGCGACTCTTGCCAATTGGGGTTTACCTTGTACAGTTATCTAAGTTTTCCTATTGGTCTTTATCAAGGTTAGGTTGTTTTTGAACTAAAACTTTATAGAAAATCTTCGTAAACCTTTTTTACCAACTGTTTGTTCTGGAGTCTTTGTTTTTCTTTCCCTTAGTCATTCATTTATTTATAGGTTTTAAAACAAATTTTAACCCTTCAGTGGTTAAATTTAAAAATATATCATTGCCTTTATATTCGTAGTAAGAGAGTAAGTTCTACTTTTTGGTGGGACTTTGTTAAAATACAAATAAGTTGATAATTAAATTCTATAAATATATTTTTGGTGATGCAACAATAAAATCGATGGATAAGTCCTTATTTCAATAAAACCTTTTTTTAAGCCAATAAAGATAAGCTTTTTAAAGCAAACCGAAATGTTGCAAACGGCCAATACTATGTTAAGATTTTTCGTGTGACAAAGTTTCACGGTCAATTTACCGACGTTAAAGAAATTTCTTTTACTTGTTAATGAAGTGTGAATATAAAAGTACCTTCCACTGTTGCTATGGCAAAACAAAAAGAACCCTATTTGTTTTTCCACGTCTCACTTTCTCCCCTCTATTTTCATTTTTCAGCAATGGCACCAGCATGATTTCTTTGATTATTCCGCCAAAAGATCAAATCTCGCGCGTCAGCAAAATGTTGGCCGATGAGTTTGGAACGGCCTCGAACATCAAGTCGCGCGTAAACCGCCTGTCCGTCCTCGGTGCCATTACGTCGGTCCAGCACAGACTCAAATTATACACCAAAGGTGAGTGTTTGCGGGGGAGTTTCGAAGTGTAAAGTCTTTTAACCCATTATCCCTGCTCGATTTCAGTGCCTCCCAACGGTTTGGTCATCTACTGCGGCACCATTGTCACAGAGGAGGGCAAGGAGAAGAAGGTGAACATAGACTTCGAGCCATTCAAGCCCATCAACACGTCGCTGTACCTCTGCGACAACAAGTTCCACACGGAGGCCCTCACTGCCCTGCTCGCCGACGACAACAAATTCGGATTCATCGTGATGGACGGTAATGGAGCGCTGTTCGGAACCCTGCAGGGCAACACCCGCGAGGTGCTGCACAAGTTCACCGTCGATCTGCCGAAGAAGCACGGCCGCGGTGGTCAGTCCGCCCTCCGTTTCGCCCGTCTGCGCATGGAGAAGCGCCACAACTACGTGCGCAAGGTCGCCGAGGTGGCCACCCAGCTCTTCATCACGAACGACAAGCCCAACATTGCCGGACTCATTCTGGCCGGTAGTGCGGACTTCAAGACCGAGCTCAGTCAGTCGGATATGTTCGATCCCGTGAGTTATTGGATTTCCCTCTTTCGAATCTGTAAGGTTTTAAACCTTGATTTCTTTGTAGCGTTTGCAATCAAAAGTAATCAAACTGGTGGACGTGTCTTATGGCGGCGAAAACGGTTTTAACCAGGCCATCGAATTGGCAGCCGAATCGTTGCAGAACGTGAAATTCATACAAGAGAAAAAACTAATCGGTCGTTACTTTGATGAAATTTCTCAGGTGAGTCAGTCATTACCAATTCTGAAGCTATTATAATAAATATGTATAACTTTTTATTGAAAAGACAAGCACTTTATGTTAACTATTTAAAACTTTTCAGTTCTAAATGCTAGAAGTATAAACTATTTTTAAACCTAATCTAAGGTCTTTATATAATGATTCATTTAGCTTGCTTTTTTTAATTAAACTTCTTATTAAACTCTCTTATTAATAGTGAATTGGAAGACAACCATAACTAACTTGTTTGTTATATAATATTGAACAGGACACTGGCAAATACTGTTTCGGAGTGGAGGATACTTTGCGAGCGCTGGAACTTGGCTCGGTGGAGACCCTCATTTGTTGGGAGAACCTGGACATTCAACGATATGTTCTCAAGAATCATGCCAACTCGACGTCAACGACAGTATTACATTTGACGCCCGAGCAGGAAAAGGACAAGTCGCACTTCACTGACAAGGAGGTGGGTACTTATTGACCATTCACCATATTGAGATGCTAATTGGGTGTTCCAATCCAAATAGAGCGGGGTGGAAATGGAGCTGATTGAGTCTCAGCCGCTGCTGGAGTGGCTGGCAAACAACTACAAAATGTTCGGCGCCACACTGGAGATTATCACGGACAAGTCTCAGGAGGGAAGTCAGTTCGTGCGAGGTTTCGGTGGAATCGGCGGTAAGTGTTCAAGGCATTGTCTTTCGATCCTTTGGATTAGCTAGCTAGTGGTAGCTCCAAATATATATATACAAATGCTGCAACAATTTCCATTCCTCTTCCCTCATGCTGCTTTCACACGGTCGTCAATGCTATAATGTAAATGTAAACTTTTAAATTGTTACCTCGATTTGATGTTTAGGCATTTTGCGCTATAAAGTAGATTTCCAATCCCTACAGGCCGACGAGCCGCTGGAGGACGTCGATCTCGATGACTATTAAGCCGGTTGGGGGCTGCGAACGGGTCTCGGTTATGCGTTACATACATAATAAACCAGTACTTTTTGGGAAACCTCGTAAAGCAAAACGTTCAAATTGATTAGGAACCAATTTACTTGCCACATAGTTTTACCTATGTTCAGCGTAGCCGTTCAATATTTATCACCAATAGGGTCCCCCTCATCAGTCGGATGGTGCATTTCCTTGTCGATCAGATCATCGTGTATCTAGATATGTACCTAGACGTTTACCAAATTTTTAAATTAGTCGTGCACGAAGCGGAACCGAGTGCGAGATTACTTTTAAGCAACAAATTAAATTCGTATTTCGTATTCGTAATTCGTAATTCAATTGTCACGTAAAAGAGATATTATCGCATTCTCTGTTCACCGCGTTCGATTGCGACTGCGATCCTAGGAAGCATAAGATCTGCAGTGAGCAGTGAGCAGTGAGCAACCGAAAAGTTTCGAACGTATCTGCATTTCCCCTATTCAAATTAAAACCGAGTGTTATAAGAAAGTATACAAATCTAATCCATAAAATTGTAATAAAAATTAAACCAGAAATAAAACACCACACATAATGAGGATGAATATCCCGTTTACATTCAATCGCGAACACTACACGGGCTTCATGTACTATTTATTGATTAGTAAATGAAAAAAATATATAATGCCTAAGGAGGTGAGAGCCTGATGTTCAGTTGTTTTGTATTAGTTGGTTAATCTGTGTTTAGACCTATGTTCTTTTTCATTTATTCAGTATCTGCTTTTGTTCTTGTCGTT